CAATTTGAGTGTGAAAGTGACCCAGATATTTCTGGATATATCTGGCCACCTGTTTGGGAAGTCATGAGAAGGCCTGTTTGGAGGCTGAGAGGACTCCTGGGAAATAAGTTGTGTCAATTCCTGGGATCCAGAGCCATAATCCATCAAATGCTGGGTGGTCAGATAGAAGCCCATTTTCTGGAGGCTAAGGGGTTTGCTGAGAAGGAAATTATTTCAGAAGACAGAAGAGGGTTCTATAAGGCTTCCCTCCTGGCAAAGTCATGTGCCTGTCCTGTTGTCTGGCACTCACATGTGTCACTGTGTCATCTGGTCTACCCATGCATGAGCTCCATAGGACCAAAAAGAACTTTAAGCAAAAGCCAAAGCAGCTATTTCATCCAGCCCCACAAAGTACTGTGGGACAGTCCACCTTGCCTAGGCCCCTTCTGGCTGATTAGCAGGCTGAGCAGGCAGATTAGGGCATGGGGTCCAACTGTAACAGGGTGGAGTTCCAACCTGCCACCTTCCAGCTGTGTGGCCTTAGGTTAGTGACTTAATGGTTCTGAACCTCAGTTTCTTCATCTGTCAAATGATAATTATAATGTGTGTTCTTTTTCTCTGAGTCTGTTGAGGTAATTAAATTTAAAAATGGCTGCAAGGCACTCACACAGAGCAAAGGCAAATGCAACTATTCAATGTGCTAGTATCACTGCTTCTACTACGATTGAGGATGTCACTGGTGTCATGATGAAGAGAAGGATAGAGATTGTGACAGGCCATGTGTGTGGAGGAGTCACGACAGCAACCTACAGGACTTGTCCTGTCCTCAGATGCAGTCAGTGGAAAGCCTTCCTTACTGAGTGGAGTGGTGCTGAGTTAGTGGCCAGGCCAGGCTGAGACAGGGGCGTTGGGGAAGCCATGGTACCCCATACCTGCAGAAAATTCATGGCCATTGGTGGGGAAGCTCTTTGACCACTGAAGAAATGGTACAGTGACAGTGCGCCCCCAGGATGAGTCTTCCTTTTGGAAGCATTTGCATAAAAGGAGCAGTCCTTTTTTTGAAAATGCAGGACAAATGTGGAGAGAAGTAAGGAACTGTATGAATAGGTAAGAGATGAGCTAAAATGTTGGGAGATCTTAGATAATTGGGGTTCATTTGCTTAACCTAAAATATTTATTGAGCACCCATTGTGTGTCAGGAACTCTTATAGGCAGCAGGAAAACACATTCAGCAAGATGGACAGAGTCCCTGCAATCCAAAAGCTTGCATTCTAAGAGTGACTATAAATATATAAATATTCAAGAGACTTTCATTTAGTAGTAGGTCCTTGAAAATAAAGTGTCTTGAGAACTATGATAGAGAGTGAATGAATAATCAAGCAGGGCCTCACTGTGCAAATGGCATTTGAGCTAACACCTGAATGAATGAAGACGGAACTATCCTTGGGAAGATCTGCAGTAAGATTGTGCCAAACAGAGGGAACATCAAGTGCAAAGTCCCAGGGTCAGAAGTGAGAGGCAAAGCAAGGATTCCCAGAGCAAACATCCTTTGAAAAGAGGTTTGAGATGACCTGGAAGAAGTAGGGAGAAGCAAAATGGATTGCCAAGGACCTTTTAGGCCATGCACACACAAATGTCATGGAAAGAAAGAGCTAAACTAAAAAGCTAGCAGAAGCCAAAATAGGCAATAGGGTAAAATATCATTAATTTCCAAACAAACTGGTGAAGTAGTGGGGTTAATTATCAAAGAGGAGGCATGCCATCACTTTCAACGTGTTTTGGTGTCCAGTACAATGCTGCGCTGAGAGGTTACATGAGCTCCATGTTCTTAGGTAATGCCTTATCCATTTCTCATCAGAAAAGGATCAGTGGACTGTGTCTTCAAACTGGATTCTAATAGAAACCAGGGGATGGCCTTGAATGACACTGGACCCGGAGCCAGAAGACAAGGGATAAATTTTAAGTTGCATGACTAGACTATATCTATTTGAAAGGCCTAGGGCACTCCGCTTGACCGCCACGTAGGGCAATTGTGCAAATTAAACAAATTAGTGTATTTTAAAGGTCATTAGAAATTGTAAATCATCACCTCAATATTTCTTGCTGGTTTTAAAATTCTTTTTAGCATATTGTTAAAATTTCTTGTCATTGTTTTTAAGTAAAACCACTAGAGGTCAGAATTTCACATAAATTGTTAAAGAAACTACCAAAGTAGAAAAAAACACCACCACCAAAATGTTTTCCTACTAAACAGAATAAAATAATAAATTTAAGGCAAAGAAAGAAAAATGAAGGTGGCTTTACACAAAGAAATTTCCCTAACTGGAACAAGGCTTATTTTCAAAATTGTCACCCAACAGACATAGATAGGGAGAGGAAGGAAAGATACATAGAATTTAAGTACCTAGTTATGATGTCTACACAGCTTAAAGTTTATATTGATTATCTTATATTATTTTAAAAATATGTCTATGATTAAGGTCCATTTTACAAATAAAAAGACTAGCATATATAGATGTAATAACACACTGAGGATCAAACAAACGGAATCTAAGTCATGCTTATTAAATAATGCAGTGAAATATGGGGTCTCTATATTGGACAACATGTTATATGATGGGTTACCCTAACTGGTTTCGCACCTGCAATGCTAAATAATTTTTTAGTTCCCAGACTCTCAAGTGAATGTAGGGAAAACTCCTTGTATTGTCTGCTTCTCAGAGTATGTAGAAGTCTCTGAGCACACTGCTGGTAAATATGATATTGCGATGATTAGCCATGGAGAAGATGTAGACCAGCTTGATCTTGGAAAAAATATATTGAACAGAAACAACAGCCCTTTAAAATGTTTACTTGGCCATCAAGCTTTGTCCTTTTGTTTCGTTGTTGCTGTTTTTCATTTTGTAGAGCTAAGTATATAAGTCTGCCTTGTTCAGGAGTGGGGAGGGGCTGTCACTGTGCTTATGAAGGAATTACACAGGGAGATGGAAGGTTATACCTTGAGAGAAGACAATGTGTTGCTTTTTAGTGCACGCACAGCATCTAGCACAGTGCCCGGAGCAAAGGCAGAACATGGTAAACATGCTGATGCTGCACCACATGCACACACAGGCAATTTGCAAAGCAAAAGGAAGGAGCTAACTGGGCCCTGACCCCAAGAGTTTGCAATCTAACTCCTGACCCAGCTGGAGATGGAGATACAAGTCCTAGGGCAAGTTCAAGTTCTTACTTAGCTGGAAACCTTTAGCATCTCATATGATGCTTGGGACTTAGTAGGTAGTCAATACATTCCAGAATCATGGAATCTCTTTAATAAGAAAGGAACTTGGAATCTATTGGGTGAAAAGTCCCCAGAAGAAATAATACCAGGTTCCTAATGGGCTTAGTTCTGGAACCCAAGGTTGGTGAACTCCCCAAGTCTTCCTTCCCCTCGCTTCTTCACTCTGCCACATTTCTGGCTTGTAATCATTTCATGATTTCCACACAGGCTCAGGAAGAGAGTTAAGGAGGTTTCCATTGTTGGAAATCTCAGCTGAGTTTCTAATGGGAACGGAGTTTTCTGCTAAGCAAAGAAATGAGGGTAGGAAGTCTTACGGTGGGCGCCTTACTGGCATCTAACAAATATCAGTTGCCCTCTGATCTCCCTCCTAAATCATATATCTCTCCATTGCTCATGGCATTAATATGTATTATTTAATGCATATCTTGTGCCTAAAACAGTGCTTGGCACTTAGTAGGTTTTCAATATATATTCACTGAATTGGAATGAATAGAATTATTGAACATTATATTTTAGGAATTATTTTAACAACACTTTGTCCATTCTTCTTCCAGTTTGAAAACTGCAGTCTCTCTGCAAGAAAAAAATTTCAAATGGATTCTCCTATTTGCAGGAACAAGGGAAATTTTAATTTTCAGCATTCTCCATGATACCCTCGGGATAATACATAGAAAAATACAAAGTTTCCCACACTCTATGGAAGGTTCAGTAATGGTTTTAAGTAAATACTTTACTTCTCACGAAAACTTCCTTTTCTAAACATTTGCCCTCACAATATTCATTTATTCACCCAAGAAATTATTAGGAAGCCCCAAGGTCTCATTGTTCCCCCTGCATTTATTTTGTGGTATCAAAGGTTAAAACTTCGATTGCAATCTTATGAGGAAATTAATTCACTGATTAAGAAAAATGCACTTTAAGCAAGACACATTTAAATAACTGACAAGCGTAGGGCAATGTATTTCTGGGATTTTTTTTTTTTTAAAGACCCTCTTTCTACTTAAAATTTTAAGCAGCTGTAATTCTGCTGCCCCATAGCCTGCAGAAACATTGCATGAATTACTAATGAGCGTGCACCAATTTGTACTGCAGTGACCACTTTCAGAACAAAGGGGTCAGAGCTGAAACCAGGAAAACAGCAGAATTTTTTATGAGCCGGTTGCTTGAAGCACATTTAGACCTTAGACTTGGAAAAAATTTGCAGTGTTCTATCATCTTTCAGCTGAAGGCACTTGGCCTCAAAGACTTCACTTTCAAATAAAGAAATGCTCACTTGTATACTACCTCCAAGCCTCGACAAAACTTTTCCTCTGCATTGGAACCGAGGAGACCACTTATTTATGAAATATCCAAAAGGTTTAATATGTACTTTACTGAGCTTTCGCCTAGTTGCTTTAGCAGAATCAGTATGAGCAAGGAGCTGGGCTTTTAAGGAAAGGGTTTCTGAAGACTAATGCCTTGCTTGTGTGTCTTTTTCTAGAGCAGCACAGAAGAGGAAATTTCCGCCTGCCCTGGATCAGTTCCATCACATTCTTTCCCTGGGGTTCACCCCCTCCTAAAATTCTCTTACCTAACATCAAGGGAAAATTAAAAATAAGGCAATTGGTTTTCCAAAATAGATGCAAAGTGGGAGGAAGTAGGGAGGGGAGAAGAGAAAGTCATCGAGAGCTAGAATGGGGTTGAGAGCTGAAGGAAGAGAGCCTGCTTACTAGAGATGAAAATTTCCCTTTCCTTTCCTTACCTTTGGGTCCTGGTGAAATTGTGTGTGTGGCGCAGACTTCAGCCGTAGGATGACTGTCCATGTCCAGTCCTAGACCCTGAATTTGCAAAAGAAAGAACACCAGGAGGATGCACTCGTGTTTTCGAAGTGAGACTCCCAAGCCACCCATCTCTGTGGTTCTTCAAAAAAGGGTCTCCCAGAAGTACCAAATAAACAGCTTTATGGGAAATAAAATCTTCTCTTTGGGGAAGAAAGTGAAGTCTCTGGAGCACACATTCCAAACCGGCCTGCAGAGATAAGACGACACATCCTGGGTTGTTTATTTCCTCAGCATTCCAAATGGACCATACATTGTCCAGACTGTTTATTTTCAAGTGACAACAATTTATTGCAAACTAGCTCTGAACTAAATAATCAAGTGTGCAGGTCGGTAGACACATTCCAGGGAATGGAGACAATAGAGATGCCTTCTGCTCAGTACATGAGCTGACAATTTAATACCCTATACTGCATGTAAATGTTGGGGTTCCAGAATGATTGAGCCAGAGATTTCTTGAATTACCTCCATGTTATGTAAACAGTATGCATGGCTTTGAACTTTTTCATAAGGAAATATTCATGACCCGTTGGGGGCAGTTAAACAGCAAAACTCCCACTGCTCTCCATGACCTTATTTCCTTCTCTTGCTACAAATAATTTTCTTGGAATTTAACCCCAAAGGAAAGAATATAAGCTTAGTAAATACAAATATGAGAGAGTATGACATGACAGTTTTATTAAAACGATGTTTGTAGCATCATTTGGGGAAAAAGCTTCTGGTATTATGTTTATTAAAAAGCATGATAAATATAGATAAGATAGTTACAGATACAGGTATATGTACAGTAATAAAAACAAAGGTTTATCTATCTATCATCTGTCTATCTATCCATCTGCATACTTATATGTTCCACCCACCCATAATCTGTATAATAGCTTAATCATAGTAAGATACTGAAAAACTAAAACAAGAATCACATATAGTAGGGAGATGCCACATCTTCTCAATTCTTGAAGAGGTATGTTAACTAAGAGTTGGATCAGAGGGGTTTTGGACCTACTTTCCAAAGTAGGACCTTACAGATCATGGTAAGACCTAATAAAGAATTATCCCTAAGAGATGTAATGTTCAATCTAAGAAATACAGGTGTATTTGTTTCCTAGGGCTTCTGTAACAAAGGACCACAAACTGAGTGGCTTAAACAACAAAAACTTATCATCTCACAGTTCTGGAGGCCAGAAGTCTGAGATCAAGGTGTTGACAAGGCCATGCTTCTTCTGAAGGTGCTAGGAAAGGATCAGGATCTGTACCAGGCCCCTCTCATAGCTTCTGGTAATTCCTTGACTTGTGACACTACAACTCCAATATCCACATGGAGTTCTCCCTGTGTGGTGTGTGTGTGTGTGTGTGTCTTTGTCTCCCCCCCTTTATAAGCATGCCATTCATAATGAATTAGGGCTCACTCTAATGATCTCACGTTAACTTGTTTACCTCTGTAACAAACCTGTCTCTAAATATGACTACATTATGAAATACTGAAGGTTAGGACTTCAACATATAAATTTTTTTGGCTAGGAAGATTTCAGTTCAACCCATAACAACAAGTTTATAGTATGACTTCACTGATCCTGTCATAAGAAATACAATGAGAGGGGGGGAAAGGAACTGGCATTGATTGGGTGGTCATTATGTGCAAAAATAGGGTTAGTCCCTTAAGTTTATCTTGTGTAAACCTTAAAATAGCACTGTGGAATAGATAGCCATCTCCTCCATTTTGCAAATAATGTATCAGAGGTTCACAGAAGTTAAATAATTCATTTAAGGTCACTGTAATGGTTAATTTGATGTGAATTTTACTGAATTACAAGTTGCCAGACAGTTGGCTAAACATTATTTCTGGGTATGTCTGTGAAGGTGTTTCCAGAGGAGATTAGCATTTGAATTGGTAGGTTGAGTAAAGCAATTGACTTCCCCAAGGTGGGTGAGCCTTATCCAATCTTTAGAAGGCCTGAGTAGGACAAAGAGGCAGAACAAGGAAGAATTTGCTCTCTAACGATGGACTGGGCCTTTGGTCTTCTCAAGTACTTGGACTGGAGCTTACAGCATCATCTCTCTCAGTTTTGAGTCTTTTGAGCTTGGACTGGGACTCACACCATTGCCTCCCCTTATTCTCAGGCCTTTGGGCTGGGACTGAAACTATGCCACCAGCTTCCCTGGGCCTCCAGTTTGCAGATCGTGGGACTTCACAGCCTCCATTATCATGTGAGCCAAGTCCTTATAATAAATCTTTCTCTCTCTAGATAGAGATATACGTAGATAGATGCAGATATAAATATATATGTGTATATAGATATTGATACTGAAATTGATATATCCTGTTGGTTCTGTTTCTCTGGAGAATCCTGACTTATAGTTACCCATTGAAAAAGGGACAAAAAGAAATTTAAATGCAAATTATTTCAAAAATCCCTGCTTTAAAATGCTATTTGGTTTCTATAAAGGTCAATGTTCTCAAGTTTTGAGGATGCATTAACTTTCACACATGCTTAAAATGTCCAAAGTACATGCATTTGTGATGTTAACAGTGACAGGAAAATAGTGGGAATTAGTAGAATGGTGTTAGGAGCCTCAAACTCCACATCTGTCATAACCAGATATACAATTTAGAGCAAATGACTCAACTTCAACCGCCAAAAGATATATAAAGTGAGTTGGGATGATATTTAATGGACTGTTTGAATTCCATGATTCTTTGAAAATAGGTATTCTTTCAGTTGTTTAGGCTATTCTAAATCTATTTTACTTCTTTCATTTATTTTTCAAGCATTTCATGACACATGATTATCTCTGCAGTAATAATTAAGCTAAGGATCTCATGATGAAATAATTCTGGATTATCTAGGTTGGCCCTAAATCTAATGACAAGTGTCCTTATGACACCCAAAGGAGAAACACAGGGACAACAGGAGAGGGCCATGAAGACAAGTGCTGAGGGTGAAGTTATGCAGTCACAAGCTAAGGGGCACCTGAAGCCACCAGGAACTAGAAGAGGTGGCATCTTTCCTTGAGGCTTCAGAAGCAGCTCAGCCCTGCCGACGCCTTGATTTGGTACTTCTGTCTTTCATAACTGCAAGATATAAATTTCTGTTGTTTTAAGCTATCAGATTTGTGGTAATGTGTTATGGCAGCCCTGGGAAACTAATACACCATTCTTCTGATACTCATGCACAGTTACTGGGAGGAATGACACATAAAAAAACCTAGTGCCTGACACAGACTGAGCAACATCTGTTCTTGTGCATTTTAATTATTATGTATCCAGCTTAGAAGATATCTGGAGGGAAATAAAATACAGGATATGAAACAAGCATATCCTAAGGCAAAAGTGTTTACTAGTTAAAACAGGATAGCAGCAATATGACAACCTCGCCTCCTGGAGGAATCTCCTGACAACTTGAAAGAACTCAACTTCGGACTTGGTTTTGTCTTTGTTCATCACGTAAGTATCACATTGGATTACAGTTCTATCTTGTGAGTTAAATTAATTAAATGCAATTTGTAAAAATTGGAAATTAGTCGGAGGGCTTTAAAAATGACATATTTAGAAAGCAACATCATAAACACGCTCATACGTTTATATTTTATTTTTTGTTTTGAGTTTTATACTTATAAAAGCATATTTAAAAAAAAATCAAGTGGTTTGGTTGTTTTAAAAATCTTCACCGAGGATTCGTAGAGGTGAGAGAGAAACATTGATCGGTTGCCTCCCATACGTGCCCGAACCGGGGATTGAACCTGCAGTCTGGGTATGTGCCCTGACTGGGGATTGAACGCAAAACCTTCTGGTGCCTGGATGACTCTCCAACTGGCAGAGCCACCCGGCCAGGGCGAAAATCAGATGCTGTTAACCGGCACAGGAGACCAAACAGGAGCCTCCTGCAGCTCCCACCCCGCTTCCGAGTTTCACTTCCCTAAGAAAACTATTCCAATAATTTTAGTGCTTATTTGATCTCTTTCATATTTTTAAATAACAAATCTTTTTCATCCCTAGCCCTGCCTCCCGCTCCTCACACATTTCCTTTCTTTATCTTTGTAATTTAATAATATTATCATTCTAATACAAAATTTAATGTTCATATTATCATGATGTTATAAAACTAATTCATAGCTGAATCACATGTGCATTATAATTACATTTTGTTTCTTGTACTGATTTCATTTTCACGAGGTTTAATAATTGTATTGTTTTCTTTTGCATAGCTTTCTATGTACAGATGCCACAATAACTATTAATTCTTTGAGACTTGTCAGTTCTGTGGAAAAACGTAAAACGTGCAATTAGTTTTCATTGCTTTCCTTAGAAATATCTCTTTTGAAATTTTCAAGCTTCTTGTTTCAGCTGGATATAGTATTTGTAAGGCTTGTATAGAGATATTATCTTAAGACTTGTCTTTATCATTGTCTAGGAATCTGTGTTACAACTTTTTCTGTATCCAAAAAAATTTTTTTCTTGGTTTCATCCCTCATTTTATTGTAGCATGCCCTCCAGTCATTTCCTAAAAGAGAGTGAAGCTGCAGATACATTTTGAGACATTGCATGTCTGAAAATCTGATAATTCTACCTCCAAATTACATAATATTTTGGCTAGGTATAGAATCCCAGGTTGAAAGTAATTTTCACACTAAGATGTAAAGATGTTGTTCTATTTTCTTCTAGTTTCCAGTGCTGCTGTTGAGAAGTTCAATGTCATTCAAATTCTCTACTGAATTCTTTGTACAGAACATTTCTTTTCTCACTCTGGAAGATTTTAGGAACTTTTCTTTACAGCTTGTGTTCTGAAATTTTAGTAGTATGTCCTTAATATTGGTGTTGTTTTTTTTGCATTCACTGCATTGGATTATTTGTAGTTACTTTTCTGTTGCTTCTTCTAGTCTCTGTCATTTTAGATTATTATTTTTTTATCCCAATATGCTATTTTGGTGACATTCTGGAGGGAGAGAGCATAAATATGTAGAATCAATCTGCCACTTGGACTCAGATATTCTGAAGATTACCTTTTAATATACTTTCAAAAAACTCCTGTGTATACATGTGTTAAGTTAAGGTTCAACATGTCTATTCATTCCCCTAAATATGAGTCTTGGGGAGAGAATTCCAGGTATGACCATGTGAAGAGATCAGAGCATCCTTTCCACATAACATCAATGAAGCTAGACAAAATTATAAAAAATAATATCTACAAAGAC